TCCTCCTTCATGTGAATGAAGTAGAAGGCCTCCAAGTAAAGAAAGATGGCAAATGGGTCCCGGTTAAGCCTCTCCAAAACGCCTTCATTGTCAATATCGGAGACAGTTTAGAGGTAATAAATATAAAAAATGCATATTCTTTTTTCAGTCAAATTAAAATTGATGTAATAATTAGGAAAATGGTTGTGGGGTCGGTCCTTTCCAAGCTCCAGGTAGTTGATGAAGAGGAATTTTAGTTTCCTCGTCATTCCAAATAAAATTAATGACTATTACAAGCTAGGTAGCATTTGTTAATTAAGTCATGTTTTTGTGTTTTTTTAGATTGTAACAAATGGAGCTTATCGAAGCATCAAGCATCGCGTAACAGTTAACTCTGTAATGGAAAGGCTCTCTATTGGCACGTTTTACAATTCAAAATCTGATGGGGAAATAGGGCCAGCAAGAAGCTTGATCTCTCAGGAGAAACCAGCATAACAAAGATTGCTAGCAAGCTTAATGGAAAATCTCACCTTGATACCTTGAGATTGTAAAATGGTTAATTGGACTCAGGCCAATGAATGATGTAGTCATGTTTCATGCAGCAGTGTTATTTGAATAATAAGAAACATTGAGTCATACCACTATATAATCATCAAACATTGAAGGATAGTGTATAGACTTTTTCGTTATTTTAAATACCCCTCAAGATTTTATTTTTAAAATGATTATTATTTCTTTTCCAATTTAATGGCATATTTTCAAATTCATGACTTTTATCAATTTCTCTAGATTACATCCGCTGGTAAATCATGGAATGAGCTCAATCCCTTCTGTTGAAGAAAGTAAAGAAAGAAGTTCAGGGTTTCTTTAACATTCCAATGGAAGAGAAGAAAAAATATTGGCGGTACCCAAGAGAAATAGAAGGATTTGGACAGCTCTTTGATGGTATCGGAGGAGCAAAAGCTTGATTGGGCTTATCTCTTCTTGATTATAACCCAACCACCCCATTTGAGAAACACTACTGCATGAATCAGATATTCAGACCGAAATATTGGTCCGGATATATTAAAAATCGGTCTGAATATATATGTCCAGACCGATCTTGGTCCCTATAGTTGATCTGAAAAAACTTGGTACGAAAAAATATAATATACAGACCGACATAAAATCGGTCCGGATATTTCAGTAAGAAATATAAATGGTTATTTAAAAATTGAAATAAGCGGACCGAAATTGGTCCCAAAAAAATAATATAATAAAATAATAAAATATGTGCGAACCGAAAACGGTCTGAAAATGTGGCAGAAAAAGGTATAGCAAATATATACGACTGAGATCGGTCCGAATATAGAGGACCCAGCAGAAACTTTTAAAACTTACAACTATATCCAGACCGTTTTCGGTCTGAATATATTAGACTTGGTTGTAACTTTTAAAAGTTCCATCTCCAACCGGCACCATTCTCAAACTATATACAGACCGTTTCCGGTCCAAATATTGTGGACTTGCTTGTAACTTTTAAAAGTTCCAATTCCAACCAGCGCCATTCTCAAACTATATATAGACTGTTTTCGGTCCGAATATTATGGACTTGCTTGTAACTTTTAAAAGTTTCATCTCCAACCGTCGCCATTCTCAAACTATATCCAGACCGTTTTCGGTCTGAATATTGTGGACTTGCTTGTAACTTTTAAAAGTTCCATCTCCAACTGGCGCCATTCTCAAACTATATCCAGATCGTTTTCGGTCTGAATATTGTGGACTTGCTTGTAACTTTCAAAAGTTCCATCTCCAATCGGTGCCATTCTCAAACTATATCCAGACCGTTTTCGGTCCGTAAATATCTTTAAGGAAAAAAATAAAAATAATAAAAAATAAATGCATTTATAAAAAAATAAAATATTATTATAATAATTGCTTAAAATAATAACTTAAAATATATAAAAGTTTAATTATATTATATTTACTTAATAAATTTTAATTTTATTTTTAGTTTTACTTAATAAAAATTATACTTATTT